AAGGGACAGAGTGAAGGTGTCAGAGCCCCTAAATCTAGAAACCATTAGAAACCAAATCCAAGAAAACCAGAGAGGAGGGAACCATTATTTTATCTTATAAATAACGTTGGGATCACCAGACATCATCAAGTTACCGTTGGTCCCAGTTGATCAATGAGGAAACTGAAGCCCGGAAGGTTTATGGACTCCCATCCGAGACTACAGTAGGAGTGCCTGATGACAAGAGGGCAGGCCTCACCACTCCCACCCCACCTGCTGAGGTCCCACGCAGGCCTCCCTTCCTGCTCAGGACGCTGGTCTCTCCACAGCCTCAAGATGACCATGGATAGCGCAGGGCTCCTGCTGCTCACCAGCCCAGACAAAGTGACCATCGGCCTGCTGTCCTGGGATGGCCCTGGGAAGGGGCTCCGGCTCCTTCTGCAGGACACTGACCGCTTCTCCAGCCACGTTGGTGGGGCCCTTGGTATGCTGTCCATGGCCGGGCTCAGGGCATCCTCAGAAACCACCTCTGCCTGTGAACAGGCAGTGCCCCTCACCTCTGTGTGTCTCCCAGCCTCCCTCTGTCTTTTTCCCTCACTGACCTGCCCTTTGTACCTCAGGCCAGTTTTACCAGGACGTGCTTTGGGGTCCGCCTGCAGCAGCAGATGACAACAAGCGCACACTGAGGGTTCAGGGGCATGACCACCCTGCCACCAGGTGACTCAGTGCAAGCAGGCCGCTAAGCGCAGCCATGGTTGGGGGCCAGGAGGCTGGGAGCTGGACTTTGGGGCCCCCAATCCTCTGTCCTTCACCAGGAGCTAGGAAGAGTCAGGTGAAAGGTTGATGCCTTAGACATGGCTGAACCAGCTCTCAGTGACCCCGTAAAGGACGGTCAACTCAGACTCACAGAAAACACAGCGGCCCAGAGAGCATTAGGGTGGGTTGGGGGCAGTAGGAAACTCCCCCTGAATTCTCAGAGCCCTGGACCCTGGCGACCACACACAACTGGGTCCCCTTGGGTGACCAGGCCGTGTCAGCCTGTGCTGGAGGGAATTCAAAGAGGCCTCGAGACTCTCCACCCTCCATGTTCCTATCCCCAGCTGTCTCCCTCTCTTCCCACCACACCTGAGATTTGCTAACCACTTGTCTGTCTGTCTGTCCATCTATTCATCCCAGAGAGCTCAAGCTGGATTACCAAGAGGGGCTCCCGGGAAGAGAGATTTCCTGCTGGTCTGTGGAGCTGTAGTTCTGATGGGAGGAGTTATGCCCATCCCCGATGCCACCCCACCGTGTGCAGACGGCTGCCACCCTGTGACCACAGGGCTACCTGTGGGTCCTGGACTGTGATGGGGAGGGGTACTTCCACTCATTACAAATAAAGAAAGATGTGTGAGCCCAGGGAGTGGGCATCTCTGGTTCTTTCTGGACAAATCCCAGGGCCTCAGAATCACATCCTGGACACTTAGCGTCGTGTGACATAATCTTCCACTGTTGGTCCTCAAAGGCCTGTGGCCATTGAGGCTCGGGGAGAGCTTGCAGGCCAGCCCCTTCATTTTACAAGCAGGTAACTAAGGTTCAGAGAGATTAAATCACCCATTTAAAAGAACATTCTCTGGGATCAGAGGTTCGGTCTACTTTGTGGTCACTGGTTCATGGAAATTAGTTTGGAGTGGGAAAAAAAAGAAGGATCTGAGTAGAAGTTCTTTACAGGCCAACTCTCCAATGTTCTCAGCAAGCTTTTGGGCCCCTTTGCAATGGGATTCACATGACACAATTTGATTTTCACACCTGTGCTCAGGAACGGGCCTGTCTGCTCACCACCTGGTAAAGAAGCAGCATTGGAAGAAAAAGAAGACAGTGAGGAGGCCCCTATCCCAGGAGGGAAGCAAGGGTCTGTTCCTAGGAGCCCCCAGTCTCACGGGGGTGATCCAGGCCCGCACGTCTAAGTCCTGAGCTGTTGAGGTCTAGTCTCCTGCCCGTGCCCTAGGGTTAGGCACCCCCAAGATCCACCCAATTCCTGCAGAGGCAAAGCATACTTTAAAAAAATGTATAATTACTCCACCTACTTATAAAAAATGCCACAAGTCTTTGGCTTACAAATAAAAATAGAATAAACCCAAAACCACAGGTGTGAGAACAAGAGAAAAGAGCCGTGCAGGAGGAAAGTTAAATCAGAGGGTAGGAAGCTGCAGCAGCACAAAGCTTTGCTCTGAGCTCCCTGGCAGCCGGAATAAAGCAGAAAATGAGCTAGTTGCTTGTTAAGAGGAAGCAAACCAGATCATCAGGGAAAACATTCTTCTCCCAGCTCTTGAGCTATACGGGTGTTTGCTGAGGGAGCCTTTCTAGGAGGGTAGGAGGAGAAGCCTCTCCAGTGGCAGGATTGCCAAATACACAGGAGCTCTCTCCTGCCTGCTGCTCTCCATCAAGCCTGGTTGGGAATGGGGGTCTCAGGCTGAGACACTTTGTGAAGGTCTCTCAGAAGAGCTCAGGCCCTAGCTCTGCAAGACAAGGGAGCAGCCTCGGGGCTCCATCAGACTGCTGTGGGGCTAGCCCTGACACACCAGGGATGAAACAGGGTGCCCACTCCAAGCTCAGCCCCCTGGGACACCGCCATCTGGGCTGGGCTGTCGAAACTGCAACAGCAGAGGCGTTGTGGGTGATATTCTGGCCCAGCCAGTGCCTGCAGGCCAGGTGTCCTCTCTGAACAGTTGAAAGTAGTTCACACCCTTCACTGTTTTGTTCACTGACTGCTTTCTAGCTCCTACTTGGGCCAGGCCCAGGGCCAAGTGCTGCAGTTATGTTTGGCACCATGACAGACACAGTGCGTATTGTGACAGCTACCACGTAGAAGATGACTAGGTGCCACAAGAAGCCGGAAGTGAGACATCTTGCCCAACCTAGGGAATATCAGGGAAGACTTCCTGGAAGTGGCATGGTTGGGGTTGAGTTTTGAAGAATAAAGAGAAGCTAGTCCAATGGAAAAGGAAGGCAAGGACACCAGGCCTAGAATGAGGACGCTGAACCTGGCATAGAGTTCAAGGAAGGTGAAGGAAAGCAGAGCTGTAGGGTGAGGTGGAAAGGGATGCTGGAGAGGTGGAGAAGCAGGACCAAGCTGGCACTGGCTGTGTACACGTGCCATAGAGCATGGCTTCTATCCTGAAAGTGGGGGGAGCATCAGAGGTTGTAGGGAGGGACAGGCGCAGCCAGGGTAATGTGGGGAGAGGATAGAGTCTGCCTGGTTTTTGCCTGCATGGAGGGCCTTGCTGACTCTGTGTTGGGGGGAAGAGGCAGAATCTTGACTGGGAACCTCCTCCTGCCTTTCTTCCAACCCACTGGGCTTGGCTGCCAGCTGGAGCAGCAGGGCAAAAACAGACACCTCAGGAGGACCAAAAACCACGGCGATGATGCCTCTTCACATCCTCCATCCGGCGGGATCTTTCTCCCCTTCTCATGCACATGAAAACTGACCTGAAGGCGTCTGGTTTAAAGCTCCATGGTTCCTCAGCCAAGCTGGGACTGAATGGGTGACAGGGCCTGTCCACTTTGTGGTGTCCCTTCCCAGGCCTGGGCCCTTTTTGCCAGCCCAGCCAGGACGCTTGCCTCGTTCGCTCTGGAGCATCTTAGGTGGCCCGCTCCCTAGACCACTAGCAGCCACCAGTCCACCAGTAGCCTCTCATAGCCACTGGGGGTCTCCCCTGATGACAGGCATTTCCTCCAGGACAGCCCTCCCCAATACCCTCTCCAGGCCCCCAGGCCAGCGTGGGCCCTGGGAAACTCTAGCCTGGCTCGGGCAGAGTGGCCCCTGGAGTGGGAGGTAGGAGAATGTGCTCGCTACCCTTGGCCAGATCCCATCCCCACCCCCAATGGCATTGGTGACCTTTCCTAATCTAACTCCAAACTCCTCTAGCCCCTGCTCTTGTGTCCCCTGCTCTGTCATCAAGCAAAGGCGCCCACTGCTTCCTCCAACGGGATACCCTCCGCCTAGCATGCCCTAGCCCCTCAGGCAGAGAGAGCAGCAGAGGCAAAGCATCCAGGGCAGGAGGGCTTATGTCAGTAGAACTGGAAGTGGACTGTTTGTCTGGAACCCAGAGAGGGAGCGGAAGCAGCTGGTGTGCGGCGTTGATGAAGTTGGAGAGGCCATAGGAAGGACTTTTGTCTTTGTCCCAAGAGCAATGGGTAGGAGATGTCACTATAGGGTTTGGTCAGGGAGTGGTGAGTTTTGCTCTGCAACATCTCCCTCTGGAAGCAGGGAGTCCCAGGAAGGGGCAGTTGCTGTTGTCCGGGTGAAAGAGGGTTGGCCGGGCTGAGAGCTCTCAGAGCCCCTTCTCCGGGAACCCCTGGCTGACCCTCCATGCCACCCAGAACTTACTGTGGAGGTGGAGCAGGTGATCACCATGAGGTGTGACTGCAGGGGAATCCATGGATCCCCAGCCCAGCTGAAGGCAAATTTGGGGCAGTCATGCAAACAGGTACTGGGGTACTCAGCTGTGCACCCCCAAATCCTGGCCCAGAATGTTGGGTTTATCTGCTGAATGGTTGGATGTTGGTGGATATACGGATGGTGGGTGGGTGGATGGGTGGGTGGATGGATGCATGAGTGGGTGAGTGGATGGCTAGAGGATTGGAGGGGTATAGGGATGAGTGACATCCACAATTAGCTGCAGGCTGTGTCTGGCCTGGAACCCTCTGCTTCTCAGTGATGGAAGTCTCTTCAGGCCTGAAGGTTCTGAAAGAAGCTCCTGAGGCATGACCCCTGACTTTTCTTATGACCCTCCTGGACTCTGAAATGCACTCAGCCCTTCCCAACTTCTCAGAGCCTCTTTGCTTCAGAGTCAATTCTTCGTTTTTCTCTTCCCCAACCCTCATACATTTGACATCTCAAAATGCCACCCCAACCAACACTTTTAGCCACTTCAGTGGAGAAGCCCAGGAAGTCGCCTTCCTAGGAGCCCGCCCCTCCTTTGTCCTAGCTGCCTGTTCCCAGGAGCAGGAGTTTGTAGAGGCATGCAGAGGCTGCGACGGTCTTTTTCCACCTCAGGCTTTATTATTACAGCCCTCCGTCAGGCCTCGCACTGTGCCTCTGTTCCAGATGCCAGGCAAGCCAGGCCAGCTGTCTCAGCAGGAGCTGATGTTTCTACTCAGAACAGGCTGGGGACAATGTAGTCGCTATGGACACCATCAATCAGCCCTTGCCCATTGTTGTGGACGAACCAGCAAGTCACCTTCGTGCCACTGCTGACATCTTTCCCGTAGTCTTTCTGGGAGCCCCTGGGAGAAAGGAGAGAGATGCCATGATACACAGTGTGGGCCAGACAGCTGCTGCGCCCATGGACCTAAGGTTGGACAAGGGTGTGAAATTGCCGATTCTAGGAGTCCAGAACTCTTTGGTCAAGAATGAGATTACGTGATTAGTCCTTTCAGGGGGCCACATTTGGCCTTTTCCTGGTTAGGAGGGGCCTGGAGGGGGCCAAGACCCCAGAGGAAAATGAGGGTACCCCACAGAAGACAAGAGCCAGTAGGCCTATGTGCGTGGGTGCAGAGGGCTCTTCTTTCCTGTCTTGCCCCTGGGCAGGGTGAGGATGTCAGAGGAGTTCCCTCACCTGGTGACTGTCAGCCGGTGGTTCTTCACCACCATGGTGGCATCTGGCTTTGTGGGGTCAGAGCCGGGGTGGACATCAGACACTTTAAACTCGAAGGGGTGGAAGAATTGTCCTGGGAATAAAAACATGCACACTGTCAGCCCCTGTCATCACCACAGGTAACATGGCCACTGGCTTTCCAGGGTTGATGCAAAGGCTGAATGGTGTGTTTTGTACTGGGTCTGGGGTGACCAGAACGGCCTTTCACATGGCTTTCCCCCTTAGCCATGTCGCCTGAACAGCCTGAAGCTTGAACATTCCGTACCCAGCAGCCCGTGTGTCTGTGTTGACATCCGGTGACTGTCCACCACGTAGAAGCCCAGAAAGTCCTGGTGGACAGGATGTTTCTTCCACACCTGGTGCAAGACGACCACAAAGGTAACCCCATCTCCAAAGGAGATCACCATGTTCTTCTTCCTGTTGATCGTCACGGACAGCCTAGGAGAGAAGAGGAGGTCAGCAAGTGGGGCCTAGTGGCCATAACGCCGGGCATCTGAATCAAGGGCATCTCAGAAGGGCCTTCCCTGTACATGGCACCTGAGAGCACACAGACTCTGGAAGCTATCTCAGGGGTGTTGGAGAGAAGACGCCTCATGTGTGCTGACTATGCCCTCCACCGAGTAGATCTCTGCTCCTCCGTGAGCAGGAGAGGGGTCTGTCCCGGGAGTCTAGAGGCCTGGGATTGAGCCCCAGATCAGCCACTGGCCTCGTGTGTGACCTTGGGCAGGTTCTGCCCGGACTCTGAGCCTCTGTGAGAGTAACACTCCTGCCCTGCTCACCAGGCTCTGGTGATCTGAAGACATAGGAAAGGCTGAAGAGTTTGAGAAATAACAAGCTCAGCCAGAGAAGATGCAAACGGAGATTATTGTTCTTATCAGATTGCGAGGTCCACCAAAAGCTCCCATCCACGCAGCCCTTCTCTGCGTGGTCAGTACTGTGAACTGTCCAGCTACCAATTCTGGTTCTGACAGGGGCCCCAGGGCTTGGTTGGGGGCCACCATGGCCACCCTCCCCTGGGGCAGGGACTGAACTCTGAGGCCACTGGTCTCCTCTGTGGTCCCTATGGATCTTCTGTCCTGGGATTTGTCCAAATCTCTCTGGCCTCCTTCGACCGTCAGACCATAGAGCTCCTCAGAGACTCAGTCACGGGGCCTTACCCATCCTGCCTGACTGTGACGGTGTCCAACCAGCTGAAAGTGCTCTGTGCAGCCCCATTCCGCAGGATGATCTTCTCTGGTGTCACCTCAATCTGGAAGTCCATCTGAGCGTTGGCAATGCCCAGTTTGCCAAAGTAAGTTTTGCTGGTCTTGGAGTCAGGGCTGTCTCTCTTGTCACCAATGATCTGCCCATTAACTGTGAGGCCTGCCAGGGGCAGCAAGAGACCAGTGAGAGCTTCTGAGTCCAGGCTGGCCTTTAGGGATGCACCCGCCCATTCAGCCAGACTTGCTAAGAGGTAACAGAGTGGGAGCCCCAAGGAGAGACTAGAACTTCAGAGCCAACCATGTATGTTCCTAGACTCTCTTGGGTCACGCCGGAGGTTGAGGCCCACGTCGTGGATCTGCCCCTTGCCTGGTCCAGGGAGTATTCAGAGAAAAACTATTCCCCAGACACAGGTTGGATCCTGCCCCCAGGCCCGGGCCACCCTTAGCTCTAACCATCTCCCCAACACCACTGGCTCCTGGGGAACTTGGTGAGCCTGGGGCTCTGGACAGCCTTCAGGATGTAATCTGCATATAAAGATGGGAACGTGATGGGCAGAGTGAGGAGCAGGTCCATGTGCCTACCCCGGGGGGGCTCCAGGCCTTCCCAGGAAGATCCCCTGGCCCCAGCTCCAGCCTGCAGCGCCCACCTGTGATGGGGTCCTGAATGAGACGCAGCACTGTGCCTGGGTCTTCGTCAATGTTGAAGCAGATGGCATCGTCTTTCTCTGGGACTTGGATGATGAAGTGGGGGTCCCCATCCACTGAGGGCACATCAGAGAAGGTACTGGTTCCTGGGACCTCTCACTGTTTTGAGGGCCTCCCCTTGCCTCCTGACCCCTGTGGGGTGGACTCCTAGACAGGCAGGAGGTGCTGGACCCTGGGCCCTGAGCCTCACCCCAGGAGGAGCCGGGGAACTCACCGTAGTAGTAGGGTGTTTGCGGACGCTGGTAGCTGGCTGTGGATGCAAAGGGAGAGAGGGCTGAGCTAAACAAAGCAGGCCTGGGGAGGCACAAAGCCCCCACCCAGACACTGTTCATGCCCCTCCCCTTCCTGCTCCCTGAAGCTCTCAACACTCCCCATCTCCTCAGGATCCCAACTATCTGCCTGTCCCGGAGAGCTGATTCAGGAGACTCCACACGGGATCGCGCAGGGCCACGCTCTGTGCAGCAGGGAGGGGGCTATAGTAGCCAGCATGGACTCACTCAGGTAGGCCATGGAGGGGGTCACTGAGGAAAGAAGGCAAAACAGCAGTCGTGAGCAGGGTCTAGGGGTTGCCTCTCCCCAAACTACATTCCCTCTGCCTGTCTGGGAGCTACCGGTCCCCACTGGGGCCTCAACACTGACAGATAGAGGGACTGTGACCCCTAAGTTTAGGCTTTAGAAATGGGGGCACGCCCATGGAACTCCTTTCTGGGGCAGTGGTAATAGGGGTGTGATTTTAATGCCACGGGTGTGGCATTTTGATGTGGCTAAAATGCAAGCCATTAGATGGTCAGCTTCTCTGTCAGCAGCAATGCTCACAGCAGACGCTGTCCCCTATGCCTGAACTCACTCCCCTAGTTGGGCTAGGGTGGGGCTCGCAGCTGTCTGTCGTGCTTGGTAGTAAAACGCCCACCCATATGCAGACTTGTGCGTGGGCACTGCAAGCCTACATTTGATGGGACTGTTCTAGGGGAAAGCAATGACCCTGTCCAAATGCGCCACTGGGACTGAACAGCCCAGATTGATGGAGGTGGCGCAGGCGCTAAGCGGCCCTGCCTGGTGGTGGTGAGCTTGCAGGGGTGAGGTTCCAATTTCATGATGAGAGATGCACAGAATGCCGTGAATCCCAGCATGGGCACTGGAACCAGGCTTCCCGGGCTGAAGTCCCAGCTTGGCCACCTGCTGACTGAGTCCTCAGGCAAGTAGATTTAACCTCTCTGTGCCTCCGTTTCCCCACTATAAAATAGGAACCATGAGAGGACTCCCTTAGAGGGTTGCTGTGGGATTAACGGAGTGTCAGTGCCTGATGTGAGAAACTGCTATTTTTTGCAGGTCACAGAATACTCTCACACTGACTGTCCCTTTTCTGTCAGGGAAAGTCACCCCCCATCAACTGAGAAGGACTTTACGAGGCTCAGAGAGGGCAGAGCCCAGTCCAAGGTTGCTCATGCGGTGGCAGCAGAGCTGGGACCTGAGCCCCGGTGTGCTGAGGCCTCTCCCTGAGCTGGACATCCCCAGTGTGCTTGGAAAGACGTTCTTGGTTCTCTTTTGTCTCCCTCCTGGGACACCCACCCAGCGGCTGACTGAAGCTCACCTTCTGCATCCGTAGGCCCTGCAAGGGAGGAAGAGGAGAAATGTGTTAGAAGTCATAGACTCTCGGCATTGGGGCCAATGTGACCAACTTGCTGCCTGTCCAACCAGCCCCAGGGTGTGGGCCTCGCAGCAGCCAGCTGTGCCCCCACTGAGTGTGCCCTGGAACCAGGAGCTCCTGGGTCAGCTCTTGGCCTCTTGTGCCTCCCAAGGCCATCCCCCACTCCCTGTGCCCAGTTGCAAGGACACTCAGGACTGCCCTCTTGGGGTCTGGTAAGCAGGCCTGGTCCCATCCTCCCGCTGTTAGGGCCTTTTCCTCTCACAATCCCAGGTACATGCTCCGGGCCTAACTTTCAGGCCAGAAGTGCTACTTCTTGTCTAACTGAACCCTTCCATGCTGAAATGACCCTGGGTAGGGTGCCCCTTTACTCACATCCCTCTAGAGACTCAGAGGCTCCTATTCACCCCCACACTCCACTGTCCACGCCGATGGCTTCATTCCCTCTGCAACACCTTCCTCAGCCCTAGGCCAGTTTGCCTTCGATGCCCCCTGGACCTGCCCCTCTTCGGCAGGTCTGGGTCTCCCCAGCCTGGCCCACTCCCCTTCAGGGCACCCAAGGCCTGGGGTCCTGAAGGAAGACCTCTGAGTTCTGGTCTCCCCTCTCCGTGCCCACCTTCCCCAGGCTTGTCAGCAATGGCCGTCTGGTCCTCATTGTCCTCGGGCTTGGTCACCACCATGGAGGTGAGTGGAGTCACAAAGTGGTACTTGAGGGATAGGTCCAGGGCCTGGGCCGTGAGGTTCTCCTTCTCCTCGCCATGGGCGTTCTTGCTGTGGGGAGGGGGAGGGAGGGAGGGTCAGCCTGGAGAACAGCTCCCTGCCTGCCTTCCCCAGCTCTGACTCCTAGATCAGGCCAGGAGCTCCAGAGACAGCCCAGGGCCCCCTCTCTTCACGGTAGAGCCCACTAATGTTCAGGTAAGACTGATTCACCACCTCCCTGGGACAGATGGACAGGCCATATTGCCTCTCTGGGCCTCAATTTCCCCACCTATAAAACATAAGGAGCTTGAAATGGTCACTACAGCAACCACTCATGGTAGTGTCCATGTGCTGAGTGCTCGGCATGTGCCAGACACTTCGCCGGGGGCTTAACAGGTTAATCCCACCTAAAAGAAGGCTGATGTGGCCCTCCCAAAAGGGCTCAAGCTCTGCCCTCGGGGGCTGAGGGCTGGGACCCCAGCCTTCAGTTGTGTTCAGCTTCACCATCACGGCAGGCCCATGCTGGGTTTGGAGTAAGGGGTGCTAAGGCTTGCCCCTGCCCTCAGGGAGCTTCCAGGCTGCAGCTTGAGCCCTGGATGTTGGGCTGGGCTCTGCCCCAGGAAGAACATTCCATGGGGCTTGGCCAAGAAGAGGGCAGGGCAGCTGGGAGTGCACATGCGGGTCTACTTCCTGGAGTGTAGCCGAGTCTTCCTTCTCTTGGGCTCCCCCAGAACATAGCCAGCACAGGGGCAGGCACAGGCAGGTGCTGGGGCAATGCCAGGGGCCCAGCTGTGGGGCTCGGCCATGTGAGAGGTGGGCCAGTGTCACCGTTTCTCCAGCAGCTGCTCGATGGTGAGGTAGGCCCAGAGCCGCTCAATGTAGTTCCCAAAAATGTAGTCCCGCTCCCGCAGGGCCTCCTCCATCTCCTTCATGTCCACCTCCTCTGTAAAGGTCAGATCATTGATGGCCTGGGGCGGGGATGGGAGGAGGAGAGAGCCTTGAGGGCTGGAGGCCTGGAGCCAGGTGGGCCCGATTCGGGGGTCGCCACTGCTGGACTATCAGCCAGGAGGCCAGAGCCCCATTGGTGCCCATCCCCCATCCCTAGCATACATCCAGGCCTGGCCCAGCTCACCCCGTGGCCCTTCACATCTGCCTTAAAGTTGTTCAAGTCCTTGTCCACCAGGCGCCCAGCTACCACGATCTCTGAGCCATCATAGAAGTGCTGGTAAGTGTTCTGGGTGAGGTCCAGGATGGCGTTCTCAGGGTACTCCACCTCCACACTTGTCAGCAGCGGGTTGGCAACCTCCTCGTAGAAGCCCTGGGGTCCAATGAGGGAACCTGGTCATCTCAGGCCACCAGGGAGGGCATGGAGAGGGCCGGGTGGGCAGGCTCCTGCTGACACCTCAGCGGGTTGTTGAGTCCCCCAGACCTGGCCGAACCTGGCTCCTGGTCTCCACTTGCACGTGTCCCTGACTGCGCCCTTCAGTTGTGGAAGCCCCCCGCCCCCCCGCAGGTAGAGACTGGGAAGAATAGGAAAGGTAAGAACAGAGCCCTCAGCACATGGAAAGTACTCAAGAAATGTATCTTGGAATGAAAGTAAGACGGAGGAAAGGAAAGGATGAGAAGCTGACTAGAGAAGGTGACAGGAGGACCCAGAGACAGACAGACGAAGGCATGGGGGTCCCCCGCAGGGGTGGAGACGCTGGCACCTTACCTGCTCGGGGAGGAATGGGGTTGCCAGATTTAGCAAATGAAAATATAGGACATGCAGTTAAACTTGAATATCAGGTAAACAACAAATTAATTTTTAGTGAAAGTATGTCTGTTAAGGCTTAAATTGTGTACCCCCAAAATACATAGGTTAAATTCCTTACCCTCAGTACCTCAAGAGGAGACCTTATTTGGGGTTAGGGTCTTTACAGAGGTAATCAAGTTAAAATCTTCAGGTCCTTGGAGTGGCCCTCAATCCAATACGACTGTGTCTTTATGAAAAGGGGAAATTAGGACCCAGAGACAGACATGCACGCAGACAAGGTGATGTAAAGAGACAGGGAGAAGGTAGCCATCTACAAGCCGAGGGTAGAGGCCTGGAACAGGTCCTTCCCTCACAGCCTTCAGAAGGAACCAACCCTGGTAACACCTTGATTTTGAACTTCTAGCCTCCAGAACTATGAGACAGTGAATTTCTGCTGTTTAAGCCACTCAGTTTGTGGTACTTTGTTATGCAGCCCTAGCAAGCAAATACAGTGTCCTGTGCAATATTTGGGGCATGCTTACATTAAAAAAATATTCATTGCTTATCAGAAATTCATATTTAACTGGATGTCCTGTATTTGATCTGGCAGTCCCACAGAGGAAGCCTGAGGACAAAATGAGAACCATTACTGATGGGTAGGAGGTAACCAGAGCTTGATTTAAACCCAAGAGGAAGTTCTTTCTAATAACTGAAATTGTTACACACTAGAACAGCTTCCTGAGGAAGCAGTGAGTTCCTCATTCCTGGAGGTGTGCAAGACAAGGCATACCTGCAACTGCAAGTTGGCATCAGAATCCTCATAAATGCGCCGGGCAAGCCCGTGGTTCTCCAGGGCCATACTCTCCAGGAAGTTATAATTCAGATTGTTGCCAAAGCCCAGGTTATATAGAGGGAACTTGCCCCTGATGGCGTTGTGCACATTCTCTTGGATTTTTTCGGGTTTGCTTTCACCTGCAGGAGAAGGGGATGTTCCCACTCCAGCCACAGCCCCGGTGACTGTCTGGTCCGGCTCTGTCTAGACATTTCTGACTCCTGCACCTGCACAGCCGGTGGAATCACGGCCACGAGCCCCTATTGAGGCAGAGGGTGAGGAACCCTGGCTGGGGGAGGCAGGGCTCTGACCTTGAGGGGCTCACAGACCATGGGGTCCCTGGGGAGAGCTGCCCAAGGTCTTCCAGCAAGTTGGCTGCAGAGCCAGGATTCAGAGTCACACCCTCCTGCCTCACCAACATTGGCATCTCCGTCGGTCAGCATGATGATGATGGACGTGCTTCTCTCTGGGACTGCATTCTCCTCCCGGGCCTTATTCAGCATGCTGATGCCCCTCAGCAGCGCGTCATTGATGTTGGTCACTGGCACACAGACAGACAGCACTGTAGGAGGGTCTCCTCAGGTGCCAGGGTGGAAGAGGTCGGGACAGCAGGTCCTGCTCATTGCCCAAGGGCTCTGCCCACCAGTGCATGGTGGTACCCAGTAAATATTGACTTACTGAGTCCATGGGTAAAGAATGAATGATTCATTCTTTCAAATGGACATAAAAAGACCGGTCTCTCAGAAGCACATGGTAATTGTAAAAGCAATTTGGAAAAAGTCAGATGGACCCCCAGCCCCCTCACTGGGAGGACAGGGTGGCAGTGTAGATGTCACCTGTGATTTTCGATAACAAGCGGCCAAGGAGAAGGGTTCTCTGTGGCCTTATATTGCTGGGTCTTGTGGGGCACCAGAATCAAGAGTTAGAAACAGAGAGGATGGGTTTCCTTAGACCTCAGGGAACACACCCTGATATCAAGCCTGAGGACCCCCCATTCCCACTTCTACCCCAGATAGGGTCTGCAGAGCCTGGAGCAGCAGAGTCTTTGCCCCAGGGCAGGAGGGAAACAGCTGCTCAGGCAAAGAGAGGAGGGGTAGGAAGTGTCTGCTCTGCCCTCTGTTCTTACTTCCTTGAGAGTGAATGTTCATCACGAACTCCCTGGCCTGCTGGATGTTCTCAGGAGTGGCTTGAACTAAATTGTCCTTCCAAGTAGTCACATCCCCACTGAACAGGATGAAATTCAGGTAGTCATCCTCTTTCACATCCTCCAGGATTTTGAGGAGGGCATCCTTTGTCTGGGAAAGAGAAAGACAAGCAGATAGGAAGCTGGGAGAGGGAGAAGCAGACAGCTGGATGTCCTCCGAGCCTGGACTGGTGGTGGGGCCTGTGCAGTCTGCAACGAAAAGGGGTAGATGCTTTGTGCCTTTTTTTAATGCTGTTCCCCTTCCTCCCCTTTCACTGGAAATATCAGCTTTGTCCATTTAAAAAAAAAAGACCTCTCTCTCCCACCCCTCACCCCCACTTGCACCGAGGAGAGTACCTGCTGTATTTTCCGACCGTACATGGAACCGCTGACATCGATCACAAAGACCACATTCTTAGGCACCACTGGAAGGCCTTGAGGTGCAAAGAAGTGCACGAAGTAGCCATTGACTATCTGGAAAGGGGAGAGAGAGACTGGAGACTGGTGTCCCTTTAGCACCCTCACATTGGCTGCTCTGGCAAATAGAAGCCAGCCGTTTACCAGCCCAAGAAAAAGAGAGCCTTTCCCACCCTCCCAGGGTCACTACACAAAGGCTCTGGCCTGCCTGCCCTCTGCACACCCTGCAGGAAACTTGGTCTTGGGCTGAGGATGGAGGGTGCCAGCACAAGATGCAGCTGCAGCCACTCCCCACACCAGTGCTCACTCCACCGTGATGGGGAATCAACCACCCACCAGTGGGTACCTGTACGTTGGCTGGAGACTCTCTGTTCACATCATAGGTGATGGTGAAATCTCCGTTGAGGAGTGAGTCTGTACAGGTTGGGCATGAACGCTGTTGATCCAAGCTGGGCTTGAAGGACACGTGGCCCTGAGGGAGGGAGATGGAGGGCCTTGCTCAGCTTGGCAAGGGCCTGCGCACTGCAGACTTCAGCCTGAGTGTGCCCTGGGGAGCAGAGGCACAGCCCTCACAGGGGGGAGCACGTAGGTGGGTGCCTGGGCAGGCCTGCCACCATCTAGCATGCTCTGGCCTTTCCCAGCACCTCTCCCCCTCTCAGAGGTCAGGGTCTCCTTGGAGGGCAGGGGCCTTGTCTGATTCAGCCTTTGTCTCTCCCTGTTCACTGGGCCCCTTAGCTCCGCCTACCTTGGAGCTTAGCCCCAAGAAGCCAGTTAGGGAGGGGAGTTTTCACCAGAAGAGGAACTGCATGTTGGGTGGTATTGCATGTATCAGTGCCAAGAGGAGGGAGAAGGGGGAGGGAGCAGAACAGAGAAGGGGGGTGGGGGCCAGGGCAGGAACACTGCCCTGCAGAAGCCAGCAGCCCTCTGAGCGTGTGCTCCTCAGGCTTGCCCTGGACGTCCTGAGTGACTGAGCTTTGCTGTTCACGTAAAGGTTTATTCATCCACTGCCCACAACCAGCAAGGCCCCTGGAATAGCTGGGGGCCTTGGGGACCAGAGCCAACCACCAGCACCAAGAATAAAATTCCCTTTTATCTTTCACCCCTCAGTGTGGAGTCAGTAGATCTAAATGACTCTGTCTGCCTCAGTTTCCTTATCTGTAACACAGGGACAGTAACCTGCCCTGCCTGCTTCCCAAGGTAGAATGGGACTGGGCTTTATAATTGGTTCCACATTCCCCCCAGTGCAGCTGAGACCCGACTTCCTCTGGCAGGTCATCATCAGCAAGCAGCCCCCTGCCTCCAGCTTCCTCACTCCTGACCCAGGTGGCCATGGAGGAAGGCGATGGCTACAGATTTATCCCCACACCACTTCACACACATACTCCCTCGCATCAGCCAAGCCCCGGGTTTCAGACTTGTGCTGCTAGGGTCAGTGTTCCTGCCCCTGCCCCCTAGGTCTGAGAGGCCTCTACACCACCTTTTTCCCTGAGAAGGACTTGGTGAGGGCACTGCCCAGGAGGTCATTGGTGACAAATGAGGCTTCAGCGTCCAGTGTGCTGATGCCCTGGGGCTCGAAGATGTCTGCCTCGATCTGAAATGGTCAAAGGTAGAGAGAAGTCACTCAGCGACACTGCAGAGGCCAGGCTCCAGAACAAGGCCAAGGGAAAGGAGATGGGGCAGTGACGGGGCAGGGAGCGCCTCTAGGACAACTCCGTGACAGCCAAGCCTGGGGTCTCCCACCAAGAAAATGACTACAAGGACTTGTAGATGGCTACTCTGACCCCAAGCTCTCCCACCATCTGCCATACGCTGCCCCCAGTTCCACCACTAAGGCGGTTCCTTTGGCTGTCAGCTCCGATATAGGTAAAATGCCCAGGTAACCAGTTACAGGCACTAAAGAGACACTTCGCGATGTCACCTCCGGGGACCAGCACCCAATTTGGATCTGCCAGGTCCAGCCTAGCCTCCTGCCCTTGGCCCAGGTGCCAAGACCAGAACCATTGTAATTCCCCCAAGTTTTCTTAGCCAAGTGATGAGGCCTGGACTTCTGTGCTCTTGACCTTGCCCTCGGCTCAGCCCCAGGGGCCCTTCCCTGTACCCACACCCCCAGCAGTTTCCTCAGGGGTTGCAGGAGGAGTTGATTACCTCAAAGTGCTTGACCAGTTGCTTGGGCTGGACCTTGAGATACATCTCATACTTGCCCTTGTGCCTCTTCAGTAGCTCCTCGTAGGTAAGCTCAAAGGTGACCTTACTGCCTGCAGCCACGTTGACTGAGACTGTGAATTTCTCCAGCTTCCTCCCAGAGGCTCTGAATGGGGATGCGAGACAATGCCCCACAAACTGCATGAGCCCACCCTTCCTGGGTCTTCAGTTTCTGGGCCAACCCCTTGGGGGAGACCCCTACCCACTGTGAGCTTCAGTTGCCTCAATCTCAAAATGGGATAATGTTGTAAGAATTATGGGCACATTTTGCTATAATAATAATAGGTGCTGTTGTTGTTTGCATCTCTGAGGGCCCTTGCAGCCCTGACATTCTCCCCAAGGTCTGGGGTCCACACTTACTTAACCAAGCCAGCTGTCTTGCCCTGGGATACAGCCTTTTCATACTGCTTCTTGGCAACTTCCTTCTCCTTGACATTCCCAGGGTAGGTAACACCGTCAATGGTCCTGCAGGGAGAGAGTTTGGGAGCTCATGCTGGGCCAGACTCCCCTTCTGAGCCCAGAGCCAGCAACCATGGTTACACCCACAAGGTGAAGTTGGTGATGAAGGCTGTCTTGGGCAGCTCCACGTCAAAGGAAACCTCCTTGGCAGTGTCTGCACGGTTGACGGCCCTCGTGGTAACAACATTGTGAGCAAAGCGGGAGGTCACCTTGCAGCTGATCTTGGTACTGTAGACCTCAATGCTGTCGACCACCTGCAGGAGGTGGGGGGGGGGGGGTGATGAGTGGTGGTGACCAGCCAGCCTGGGACACCTGGAAATCAGGTCTTCAAACTGGCCACTTCCCTTCCAAGCTCCCTTTGCAGATTCTAAAGCCCCTGCCTTGTTAAGTGGCCCCTCCATTCTCCCAGTCACCTATGTCAGGAGGTTGGGTGGCATCCTCCATCCCCACATTGAATTGGCCACCATTGTTCTGATGGTGGGCACCTGGGCAGTCCTGTTGCCATCTGGCACGCTCTGGCCTTTCTGAGCACTTATCCCCGCTTCGGAGATTAGGGGCTCCCTGGAGGGCAGAGTCCTTGCTGATTCAGCCTTTGTCTCTCCCTGTTCGCTGGACCCTACAAGCTCCTTAGCTCAACCTACCTCATTGCTCAGTAGCAAGAAGCCACTTAGGGATGGGAGCTTTGCACTATGAAAAGGAATTCCACGTTGGGTGGTACTGCAGTGTGTTGGTGCCAAGGGGAGGGGCCGGGGAAGGGAGGAGTACACAGAGAGTGGAGGGGACCTGCTCTGCCTCTTTAACCCTTTCATCTGTTTAGATGCAGCTGTAGCCAGTGACATCTTGTAAAAACCCATATCTGACCCTGTCCCTCTCCCGCTTAAAGTGCTCCCGTGCACTCCATCACCCTCCTCCCCATGACTCTGAGGTCCTCCAGGCAGGTCCTGCCTCCTCTGCTCATCCAGCACCGCCAGGTCTCTGTACCGGGAACACCTTCCCTAGCTCTTCTCGCTCATCTTTCACACCTCTGCTTTGAAAGAAATCACCTTCACACACACCCCAGCCGCCTCCCTTGTCCTTTGGTAATTGCCTGGTTCTGTCTCCCAAATAGGCACTTATGTCCTATGCCAACAAGAATGTGTCGGGAGGGCCTTTGTGCCCCCAATAGCCTTTGTGCCCCCAATACTCTCCTTCCAACGCAGGTGGTGGACTGAGGGAGACTCTAGGGAGTCATCTGGGTTAAACATGGATATAAAGATGCTCCATGAGGGTGTGATGGAGCCACTTCCCCCTGTGTCCCCAGTCCTGGGCACCAGGCCTGGCACTGGTAAGTGCTCAGTGTTTGTGGAAGGAAAGACTGGTGGAATGGCAGTCCTGCACTGCATCCAGAGAGGTCTGAGGGGGCATGGTTCTGTGGCACTCTTTCCTGGGGTCTTGAGTTGCACGAGGATCTGCCAGAGCAGGGGGCTGTGAGCTGTTTGCCAGCTGTGAGGGACCTACCATTACGGCCCACCCCTTCAGCTGTTGGGCAACCAGCTCCATCCTGCCCTACCCCACTCCACCCCATCCCTGGTGAAAGTTCTCACCCCCTCCGGGAGGCTCTGTCTCTGCAAAAACAAAGACAAACACGGGGTCAGGCCGTGGCCAAGGCCACCATGGCCTGAGAGCAGGCTCTGGGCTGAGGCCAGGGTTCAGTGATGACTTCCCCCGACACACACCTTGAGGGGCCTCAGGACACAGGACCTACCCAGAGTCACATGTAGGAGTAGGAAGGGTGCTGAACAGATGGGGAAACAGGTCCAGAGAGGGCAGGTCTCCAGGCTACCCAGGGTAGCAGGGCAGGGAGAACCAAACTCAGCACTCCCTCCCTGCCCCACGTACCCCGACACTAAGGCCCCTGGCTCTGAGGTGTCCTCTCAGAATACCCCCCACCACTGCACCCCACAGTGCTCAGCTCGGCCCCTCCAGCCTCTACCTTTGTCTTAGACATGGACCTTAATCCCTCAGTGAGGTGAGCAGGTCATGGTGCATCGCCCATTTGACAGGTGGGGGAAACAGAGGCCCAGAGAGACTTAAGAGCCTTGCCCAGGGTTAGACTGCAGGCCTGGAGTCCAGTTCTTCCAACACCCAGCCCTCATGCCTCCTCCTCACCCCACAAAGAGGACCGCCCAGCCTGGCGCCTCTGCCCGTGTGACAGGCCCAGACAGTGAAGAGTGGTCAGACTTACCCCGAGCGGCCGGGAGGGGCTTCTTGGGAAGCCGGAGGCTGCCAAGTAGGAGAGCAGGGCCAAGATGAGGCAGGGCCACTGAGCAGACGCCATTGCTGAGCCCGCTGGCCAGGCAGTGCTCCTTATATGAGCAAGCCTGGTGTTTTCCAAGTGGGGTCAGCGACCTGCAGTGTGGGACAGGAGGAGGGGAGGCGGGAGGCTCCTCCGGGAAGCTGGGGCATGGGTGGAGTAACAGCCCTGGATCTGCCTGTTTCAAGGGGGCCCAGTGGATGTTGTCCACAGGGTTGGGACTTCACTCCTGGTGGCTGGGGGACATGGAGACCCCAGAGAAAGCAGAAGCTGCGTCTTGGCAAATGGGCCCCAGGACTCCATGGATGGAGGCGATGGTGACAGGGTGTGGAGTCACATTTAAAGCAAACAGCATCTCAGCATTGTTGCCTCTTACCTGCACCACTGACATGGCCTCTGGTGTGGCCTCCTGGATCGTGGCCCCCCTCCCTTCTCCAGGCAGCCAGGGCACACAACCAGACCCATCACCCTAAGGTTTAGATCTCCGTGGCTGAACCTCTTGCTCATTACCCTTCTGCGGTTTCTGTCGCCCCAAGGAAAGGACAAACCCCAAGTCCTGGGGTCCAGCTGTCTTTGTGACCTGGCTCCAACTTGCGTTTCTGAACTTACTCTCTTTCCACTGGCATGCTGTCCCGTTTCTGTACATCACATCTCTCATCTTTGTCAGGCCCTGTGTCCCTCTCTAGAAGCCTTCCTCTTTTGTCCACAGCTGACATCGGCAGCCCTGCTCCGCACTCCAAGCTCCCTAAGGGCCTGTCTGCTCCATCATTACCTTTATGCATTGAGGTTTGCATATTTGGGTCTGACTGCCCCCTCTAGACTCCTGGAGGGCCAGGCCATGTCATGTTCACGTTCCCAGAGCCTGACCAGGGACTCAGCTGCCCTCGGCCTCTTGGGGAGTCATTCCCTGAAAAGTCTCCACTGAGGCTGGAGCTCTGCCCTCCGGGACAATGGGAGCTTCAGAGGCAGGGTCTGGTCTCCTCCTAGGGGTGGTTGGGACCTCCTGGGCCATACCAAGGTTCTGCCAGCCCCCAGACCTTCCAGAGTGGCCAACAGCTGCCTCCCATTCCCATGCTCTTCTGAGCAAAGTGACCCAGTGACCCTCCCACTCAGCAATGATCGATGGAGTTGATGAGGATGCCTGGGTGTAGGGCAGCTAATTGATGGATTGTACCATGGTGTTGGCTGAAAGCTCTGTACTGACTGTGAAATGTACAGGGAGAGTTGACTGCTGGGAGCAAAGAAACAGCGAGAAGGCAGAAAGCAGAAGTTTTGAGGCAGCAGAAGCCACAAAGAGGGAGTGGACTAATGATCGGAAGTGGCAGGAGTCACAGAAACAATGACAGAGAGTTGCCAAGTCAGTAGAACGATGGCGGACCAACAGCTGCAGCTGCTGAGGTGGCAACTGCCTGTGTTTGAGGCCCAGCTGGGGGCTCCTGTTCCCCTCAGACCTCTTGGATCCTTACACCAACCACCCTGCCAACTGGCACCGAGCTCAGGGCTGACCGAGAACAAACCCAGCAGGTGCTGACACCTGGGAGCAGAGAGAAGACCCCTTTCAGAGCTTTGCCATCAAGCCCTGCAGTCTGGCCTCGAGTTTCCAGGTACCAGGACATCTCATTTACGTGGTCATTTTCAGCGCCTGTGGTCACTGACCACTGGACAGCTTGGGGCTGTGGCAGAAATACTGTCCTGCCAACTTTGCCTGATGGCTCTTCCTCATGGCCCTGCAGCTGCCTGTGGAGCTTCCCCCAGCCCCATTCCTCTAGGCTACCGCCTCATCCCCAGATACATGGAGTTTTGTGGGAGGAACAACTTGAAATAGGAATTCTGAGGCTGCTCAAGAAGCCCCTGAGGGATAGCTGGGGACTTGGAGGGACCCAGAGTCATCACGCAGAACTTAGAATTAGACAGAATCTACGAGATCTTCAAAGTTCACCCCATTTCTGCTCTACAGGAGGGGAAAATGAGGCCCCAGTTGGGCAGGGCCTTGCTCAGGGTGACCAGCCAGCTGGCAGCCCATAGCTCTCCCCTGAGAAGTGCAGGATACTCCAGATGGCGGGTTGGTTTCTGAAATTCCATTGGCCACCGCTCTCCCCAGACTGCCCCTGAGGGCTCTGTGTTCCCTGGGCCTGGGGCAGCCCTGGAGCTCAGCATTTGTGCTGTTGATCTGGGCCCTCAGTTGGAGTGGGAATGGACAGAAGCCAGCAGAGAAAAAGTAGAAACCCTCTGGAAAGGAGTAGGCAGGGCCCCATCAATCTTCACCAGAAGGACCAGCAGCTCCAGAAAGTACAGGTTCATCTCCCTGCACCCTGTGACTTTGCATTTTAACTGGGTGCCAAGGCGAAGCTGGGAAGGAGCCCTGAAGGGACAATTCCCGGCATCAGGGTGAGGAGCCAGTGGGCTGCTCTCCCTGCCCCATGAAATCACAGCTTCTGGGCCGTCGCTGTCTCTGCCTCTGTTGGAGGTTGCAAACCCCGAGCTGGGTAATCGAGCTGAGGCTGGAGGCCCAGGCACTGCCCCCTGAGGCCCTAGCTCCAGCGGTGCAGCCTCCAGCTCCTGGTTGGACTTCTGTAGGACCCCAGGTCTGTACATATTTCATGCACTTCTTTCACTTGTTCATTTTAAGTGATACTTTGGAATATCTGGAACCAAATCCCAACAGGCTTTAGCCAACAGCTGCCCAGGCTGACTGGAGTATTTACATGGGGGTGGTTAAAAACACAGATGCCGACACAGACAGCATGGGTTCAAATCCCAGCTCTGCTACTTACAAGATGAGGGATTTTGGACAAATTACCTAACTTCAATTTCTCAGCTGTAAATGGGCATGATAAAAGCATCCCCAGGGGGGCCAGCTCTGTGGCCAAGTGGTTAAGTTCATGCGCTCTGCTTCCGTGGCCCAGGGTTTCGCCAGTTCGGATCCTGGGCACGGACATGGCACCGCTCATCAAGCCATGCTGAGGCGGCATCCCACATGCCACAAGTGGAAAGACCCACAGCTAAAATATACAGCTATGTAACCCGGGGGTTGGGGGAGAGAAAAAGTAAAAATAAAATCTTTAAAAAAAAGGAAAAAAACCCATCCCCAGACCTGTTGGGAGCATGCGTTTAGTTAATTCAATCAGGGCTCCTAGAACAGTGCCTGGCTATAGAAAGCACTGAGTCAGCTGTGGCTGTTGCTGATCATTCCAGGCCCCACTGCCAGAGTGTCCTTTGATCCCTGAACCTATTGGGGGAGCTATGTGCAGGGGACATAGGGGCAGTCTGAGGGCATGGGGCAGGCAACTGCAGAGAACACTGTAGGGTGAGGGCAGAGTTGGCATGGCCTCCCTCCCAGCCACCAGGTCTGCTGTGACCCCTGAGCCCTTCCGATGGGCAGCATCTTGGGTTGCCTCCCTGCCATCATCCCTCCCAAAAAGCAGCCAGCCTGGACTGGACATAGTCTCTCTTTAATGGGAGCATGGGTACTTTGATACAGGGGACCAGCTTGGACAGGGAGGTGTGGCCTGGGCAGAAGGTCACTGCTGTCCTTTTCCTCTGCCATGGTCCCAAGGCAGGACAGATGTGCTGGCAATGGGCTCAGAAGATATCAGGGACGATATAGTCTGTGTGAATGCCATCAATCAGCCCGGCCCCATTGTTGTGGACGAACCAGCAGGTCACCTCAGCCCCATGCCGGGGGTCCTTGCTGTAGTCTTTTTGAGAGCCCCTGGAGAGAGACAGGTCAGTTTTTGGACCTAGCAGAGCTGCACCTCCCCAGGAAATCCACCCCACCCATGTGACAGCTGGAGGAAGGCCTGGACCTAAGATGGAGAATGCCAAGGGTAGAGATGCTGGAAGGGCAGCCCACCCACCTGGTGACTGTCAGCCGGTGGTTCTTCACCACCATGGTGGCATCTGTCTTTGTGGGGTCAGAGCCTGGGTGGAGGTCGGACACTTTATAATCAAAGGGGTGGAAGAATTGTCCTGGAAAGACACGTTGGAGGCAGCAGTTACCATGGGGGGCCTTGCTCCAGCCTTGCACTCAGCAGGTGCTCACTGGAGGTTTAGAGAGTTGCTTGAACATTTTTTTCAAGGACTTGACTGTTTCTGATAAATTTTAGCATCAAAAGCCACCTTTAGTTTACCTGCTATAGAGGAGCAGATATATTGCCAGGTGGCTGTACCTCTTGTCTTTTGGACTGATTCCAAAGGAATCTGGCTGGGAAGAGAGGTTTGAGGGGTAGGTGCCTATAGAAAGCAGGGTCTGCAGGAAGGCCACAAGAAGAAGCAGTGTGGCTGATGACTCATCCCTCCCAGGAGGTCTCTGGGAGCCCACTGGACCTTTCTGTTTGCTAATTGGCCATCTTCCCACTTGGTCCTGGGCTCACTTAAGCTTTAGTTTCACTGTGTGTTTGATTGCAGCCTCTTGAGGGACAGGACGCTCACCAGGACAATCCCTCTTTGGAGCTCTGAGCCTTGGAGGCCATGTTGGAGGTGAGCCTGTCCTGGTGCCCGGCTGCAAAGCTGACCCATGGCGAGTCCACTGACTTCAACACCCCACCCCACAGCTCTGCCCGCCTGGCCAGCCATACCCAGCAGCCCATGCGTCCGCCTTGACATCTGGTGACTATCCAGCACGTAGAAGCCCAAGAAGTCTTGGTGACTTCCCTTCCACACTCGGTGCAGAACGACCTCGAAGGTGCCCCTGTCCTCTACAGATACCACCAGGCTCTTCTTCCTGTTGATGGCCACCACCACCCTGCAGGGATGGGTGGCCATGAGGGCAGGTGCAGCCGCACTGCACTCCTCTCCATTCTGCTGCCCTTGTCCTCTAGGACTCAGCTCTTACGAACTTCTACCCCCATCCCCAGATGGTTGGGTGTTTCCTGCTCCGTGCTCCTCCTCACATGTTGCTATTGTATGTGGGGCCTTTGCAATGTGCTAGGCTCTGTGTCAAGCCCTCCGTGCAAACTGCATCATTCAATTCTTACTCTGATCCTGTGAGGCCGAAGGCTCAGAGAGGTTAAGTAACTTGCCCAAGGTCACACATCTGGTAAGTGGTAAAGCCAGGACTTGG